TGTTGTGTCTGAGACCAGTTGTTAGGAAGGACAGGAATGAACTGTGAATGGGAATGTGGGGACCAATAACAAACTTCTCATAGTTATTAATCTCAAGGTATATCAGTGTTTGGTTTTGTGCTAGCATGTCTTGTAGACTAGTACCCATACTGCTAGTATGTAATCTCTCCACATCATTTATCTCCACACTCAGAGCTTTAAGTGTAGTATTGGTTTGTAGAATAGTAAATAGTTCAATAGCCAGGTAAGCTCTGTCTAGTAGCAAAGTAAGTGTATGTAGACTGGGATGAGAGAGAAATAGAAGATATGATGAATATGGTACATAATGTAGTATCAGACAGAGTAATCCTTTGATATGTGGAAGGAGTGATGTCATCAGTTCACTACTACTCCACTGTGCTTCTCTTATCTCTAAAGACGTCAGTGGTGTGTTCACCTCTACTATATTCAGTGATGATGGTAGGAGTTTATCAGGTATGTTCAGTGAAAGAGCTTGTAATGTGTTGTTGTCCTTTAGTAACTGCTCTATTACTCCATCAGGTAGACGAGGAGTCTCGGGAAGGCTACCCTTTTCATGCTTCCTATGAGAGAAGGGTAAAGAAAAAGAATAAGCATAATCTATGTTAATTGTTAATGATGTTATTGTTTTATTTCTTGTTACTCCTCTAATGACACTGATAATAGTACTTGTTTTTTCATTTTCTCCACTATACTCAATCTTCATTTCTTGTAGTGTTGAAGTTTCTATACATTTCTCAAGTTCAGTGCACTTGTCTGTGTAGTATGTATTGTCAACTGTTGGTATTATAGGTTGTTTCATTATTAAATGCAGTATCTTCAACTGAGAAAGATTGAGAAACTGTAACAATACAAGACAGGAAACATATTGACCTCTATATGATAATTCACAGTAGCACTCCTGAATATTGTATAGAAGTGATGATTGTAATAATTTGTGTATTAATTCTTCAGTGGGTCTATACAACTCTACCTCCAGTCCCTTACACTGGGTCTGTAGTAATATGGTGTGTTCAGGCGATAGTTTCTCATATACTCTCTTCAGGTGCAATGTTGTGTTGGAATTGTTAATACAATAACTGAGACACAAACAGTCAAACAATGATGATACTCTATCCAGACACAGTGAGTGGTTGTTGATGGATTGTGCTAATACTTGACATAATGTTGTGTTCTGTGATTCATACAGGAGTTGAAGAAGAAGAATCGGAACATTGTCGGAATCATCAGATCTGATATGATCAGCTTTAATCTCAGGATTCTGATAGAAGTAGGAGAGATGACAAGTCTTAAATCCAAACAATGGTTTCCTTTTACACTGTAAGTCAAGTTCTTGTTTATTAAAATACTGTTGATAGCTCTCATGTTCAAGGTGAGTTAGACCTGCCACAAACCTCAGACACATTCGAAAGTGATCATCATCAAAGTGATCCTTAAACACTTCCTCTCTCTTCTTCTCATGCTTAGCTATCCACCATGCAGCTAGAAATTCCTGTATACTCAAGTGAATGAATTGATGTTTCTCCTCATCGTATTCTGTGAATCTTGTCATCAATCCAAGATAGTCTTCCTTGACTGCCTCACTCAGTGACTGTACTTGATGTGAAGAGAATGTCATTGTTGTATTAGCCAGGTTAGTATAAGCTAATTGACACATCTCTTGTAAAGGTTTAGCTAATTGTGATGGTAATGAAGAAAGACTACCTAAAGTATGTGGGTCAATACCATATTTGTACAGATATCTTCTGATAGTTTGTAGGATAAAGTTCTCATAGAGTTGAGTGAGTGTTGTTGGTAAGTGTCCTCCTTCCTTACAATAAACTAAGATGACCATGGAACAGACTAGTGGTACATAACACAATGATTGGACATCATTTCGTACTTTAAGATCATTAATGAGTTTCACTGCTAGTTGTGAGTCCTTACTGCTTTGAGTAGTTGTGAATTGTGACTTGTAGCCATATTTAGTTTTATTTTCATTAATAATTTCTTGTGCTAGTTTTGTATCTTTTTGAAGTGTTTGTATAATTACTGTTGATATTTCTTTTTTAGAAAACCCAATGACCTGAACATGTCTACTGAGAGTATCCATTTTCAGAAGTAAAGAGGAGGCATAGCTACGAGAGGTAACAATTACTGAACATTGGTCTAACTGCTTTCTATGGATGATACTAGCAGCTAATGAAGACTGTCTGAGTTGTTCACTTAGTTCATCCCAACCATCAAAGATTATCAGTAATCCTTCTCCATTCATCTTCTCAAACCATTCAGCTACCATGGGATCTTCATAACGTTGACGCACAAACAGGTCAGCTAGTGTAGTAGCTGTAGCTATTTTGCTATTCCTTAAAGGACAGTAAAGTACCAA